AAAATACTCTCTTTGTGAGATGAGAAACGCAAGCGCAGTGTGTTTAGAATATGCGCAGAAATATATAAGGAAAATCGCACACTGATCTTCAATCAATGTAACTGGCAAGTGACATGGAGCCAAACTAGAAATAACTTTCCACATTTCTCTTGCTTTATTGCTATCTATTGCACCTCGTTGATTTTAAAAATCCTTTATGAAAGGGAAAGTTGCCAGCATTTTCCATGTTAATGCTGGAACAATTTGTGTCTTGGAACCTTATGGCTCCTGTCTGACCAGCTTTGAGTCTGGTTTGCTCATTTTTTTTTCCTCCCTGCCCCCCAATGAATAACTAGCATTTTGCCCACAAAACATACAGTTAATTCACTTTATAATATATTCTGTGAAACGCTTTGAGATATCTCAAAGACATGATAAGGCATTATATCAAACGCAAGGATTATTATTATACGTGGTGCTGACACTGATAATAATAATAATCCTTGCAATGCCTGTATTTCCTGAGAAAGGTGGTTTGATCTGCTCCTACCTTTAACACTCTGTTTATTTGTTCCCTCGATCCTTCCATTAACAATATTGCTGTTGGCACTTTTTGTTGCTCTCTAGGAGTTATTGAATCAGCAAGTGTTAATGGGTACAAGAGTGTGGGAGTATGCAGTCAGGTGTCGATCGGTTAGCAAAATGGGTGGGTATGTGGAATATGGAATTCAATATTCAGCAAAGCATGAAATAACAAACCGACTTATATTTTGGAATAGTATATTTGGGGTTAGAGTTAGTGAATGGACATGGTGTGGTAGACTTTACAGTGGATGAGGGACCCAATTACATAGATTGTTAAACGTGGGAGTGTGAAAGTTAGGAAGAATCTTTTGCACTGAAACCTGTCTCTGAGCCATCTTTTGAAGTGAGCTTGACCTCCTGTCTAGAATGTGAGCTGCAATAGGAAATCTCATCCGCAACCACTGATGGAGTTGGTAGCTTCAGGTGAGAATATCTTTGCGTTTCTCCCCTCTTGGCATGTTAGTTAGCAATAGATGCATAAAATTAATCTTAATGAATGTGTGGCCAGCCTGGCTTGTTGAGTGTTCCTCTTAACTGGATGTTCCCTGCTAGTTACTATCGCTTGAAAAGGACTCACAGTTTTGGCTGAAGTTTTATCAGTTCATTTTCAGCCTTCCAGGAAGTTTTAATTCCTTTTACTCTCACTTCATCACACCAATCGTCCACAAGGCAAGGGACCTCACAGATCAACCCAGGCTGACGTTCAGAGATTCGTACGGTGTAGCTGATAACTCCTCTGCTGTAAATGCAGAGAATAAACCCATTGTCCTTCACCGATTGCTGTCACAGAGTTGATTTTTTTAAAAAAAAATTAAAGTGTAACTGGTTTTAAATCTCATGTTGTCATTCTCAGTCGTTACAGTAATTATGAAGGCCCAGGGTTTAAATCGTATTAATGTCGTCGAGTGGAATTCCAGAGTCCACGAAGACGGTCGATTCCATAAATTTGATTCTGATGACCTTCTAAATCTGACAAAGGATTATTGTAAAAGATTAATTACTTCAGGCTCTGGAAAAGTAACCGTACCCAGTGCTGCATGGTGATTCGCAAGCCCTTTCCTGATGGCAGGCCTGTCTTTTAGTTTAAAGTATATCATGTACACAAAACAATTCTACAATACTGCTTCCATGGAACAAGCAGAGTACTGTCCTGTGTCCCAGTTGACGTTGTTTTAGCATGTTTAAACCATTTAAACTAGCCGTATGCTTCTCATACCTTGTACTGAGCATATAATGTCACATTTGTTCAGCAGCCTAATTAAATTTTACGACCCTTTGGTAAACAGTGGAGAAATTGCCTGCCTTTTGGTTTAAATTTCATTTCGTTTGGATTCACCAGTGTAAGTTCAGAGCATCGAGAGACGACAATCTCTAATAAATTGTTCATTTATGATGGAGCCTTTGCTGTACAGTAACCACTGAGTGTTTACATGAGCACGTGAAGCACTGATATTGGGGTGTGTGTGACTGCAAAACACATTATGCAGTCGAAGCAGTAGGAAAGATGATGAACCCTTGTAATCACCTCTCCGTATTTGTGCTCCCCTTGGCCCGAAGGAGCAAAACCATCTGAGAATGCACTCCCATCAGTAATGGATCAGCTACCTTGTCTACGGACTTTTCACTAGTAAATCTGGGAAAGGTGATTGTGTACACTTTGAATTGGAACTTTTTTTTCCCCCCGGAAATGTTCAGTCCACAAGTAGTGGAATTCTCCTGTATGGAGTTAGAATTGGGCTGCGAAGGGGAATCAGCCACAACGGAGTACAACTTGGAGAGGACTCGCCCTTTTTGTACATCATCTGCTCTAAATCTCTCCTGATTTGGGGGAACAAATGGCTAAACAAACCCCTGCTCGGGTCCAAACCCCTGACTATTCAACGCCTTGGGACGTCCTCCCGATGTGAAAGGCATTACACAGATGTAATTTGTTGTATTGCAGAAATCTTTTTTCACACTGTTAGAATTCCCATTTAGTTGTCTTTACTGACTGTATGATGGCAATCTCTCAAAGGGCTGTAAATGTTTCTGTGAACATGAAACAACATGTAACTATCAGAGCATAATGTTGCAAGTGCTTAATTTTCGTTCCACTTGAGTCACCGGATGTCAACACTTGGGGAATTTCCTCGATGATGCAAATCCATGGGATAATAGCAGAAAATATTGTCATATCATGAGCATTATGAAATATAGTTTACATTTGTGAAACTCACTGATTGCAATATCCTCAATCTTACACTGATTCACAGCATGTCTTGTCAGCACCAATATAGACAGTGAGCAGCATTGTTTACAAATACTGAAGTTGGACTAAAATATGAGTGGATTTCCAGTTCGTGTGTTCTGGCTCCCATGTCTGCCTTGCGCTTTGTACTCTCTGTGTTACGAGTTACATTAGCTTCAGTTAATAAAAATATTGAATACTGCTAGTATTCTAGGTTACAGCTTTCTGAAAACGCCATTTATATCTCTGGAAAGCTAGGATTGCAAGTCCTATAATTATAATAATCCTTGGATTTGATATAGCACCTTATCACGTCTTCGAGATGTCTCAAAGTGCTTCCGAGAATATACCGTGAAGTGAATTGACTATATTTTGTGGGAGAAATAATATATATTATGAAAAAAAAAGGCCTGTAGGAAATGCAGTTGATTTTGTAAATTGCCCTTGTGCCTTTTTACAGCTGATCAATTCCTACCAGGATAGCTAAACTATTCTGACCTGGTTGTTATCTTAGCCAACAGGAAGCACTGTGATAAATTCACAGATAATAGAAAACTAAGTTGAGTTTCCACAGCAGGGTTATCACAAAATCTTGGTAATATATCCCGAACACAACTCCAACAATAGCAAAATATTAAATATTGTATGTTATTTAATTCACTATGTAATTCACATTTCCATTGAAATCTCTTGTGAATTTAATTATGGGGTTTTATGTGGTTATTTTCATTAAAATGTAGATGTTCTGCTCAAACTTTCAGAATTAATCCTAGCTTCTGTTTTTTATTCTTAGCCTAAATAAGGCTCTGTCCATTCTCGTCTCCAGTTTCTGTGAATCTTGCCTATAAGTCTCCTTCCCTCTGTACATATTGGGAAAGTGTGAGGAAGCATAGTGGAAGCTGCTCACTCACTGCAATTTAGCAGTTGACTCAAGAGGGATATGATGTGAAAGAGAAAATTCATGTTTTCAGATTCAATCCTGAGCAGTAAAAATCGGGAATAAATATTTGAGAAACATGTCTTATTGGGTTACCACCATTTGTTAAGTGCAGACTGGATGCAGTATGTCGTGAGATGTTTCTTTGGGAAACATGGTTCCACGATTCAGTAGTTGGAAAGTTGTCCCCATTTTTCACAGGGAGTTCAACAGCCACCACCAGAACTCCAAAGTTTTTCTCCCTTTTAATATTCCCTGAGGGGGTGTACATCATCTGTTTGTATGCAAGGAGTTAAGTTAAATGAATAATGTTTGTACTTCGTCTCGCACCTTATTCCATCAAAATATCTCAAAGCAGTTCGCACAGTGGTTCACTTTTTGAAGTGCACGGTCTGTGGCAAATTCTCAAAAGATTGAGAAATACCATGCCTAGGGTAGGTAATCAATAATTCAGATCTGTCACCAGCAGACAAGATATAAGGGCAGAATAAAAGAATATTTTATCTGTACAAGAATTCATGATGGACAAAGTTTTTAAAAAAAAAGTCAGGGCTGAAGCAGTGATTATTAGAGCAGCTTTGCTGAGCAGCCTGGAGTGAGGGACAAACACGGGCTTAATGTCCATTCCCAATCCCAAGCCTTGCTCAGCGGGAGGAAAGACATGGAGCAGTGGGCAAAGAGATGCACTTGATTGTTCACCTCCTGATGATCTGTTCCAGGGCTTTGGCACTGATCTGGATGCTCTGTCTACTCGCTCTCTTGGCGTTGACGGTGTTTGGATCAAGCAGACAAAAGATGGGGAGAGAGAGAGGAGGGAATGATGGAATAATAAGGAAATTAAGCTGAAAAGGATCTATGAAATTGGTGCTTCTAAACTTTTAAATTGCAAGAGTTAATAAATTTTAAAAATGCACTTCTGAAATATTGGAAACCGCAATACGTTGAAACTCTTTCATTGATTGGCTGTTTTGAAATGTTAGTTCATCCTTCAGTCATCATAAGTACTTACAGTTGTGTTCTGTGCAATGAAGAGATTCTCTTAGACATTCTCTATGTCTAAGATTCCCACTCCTACGCATGAAAATACAGAATAAAATCAGAATTGTGAAAGTATAATGATAATAAACCTTGCATTTGATATCGCGCCTTATCACGTCTTCGAGATGTCTCAAAGTGCTTCACAGAATATACTGTAAAGTGGATTGACTGTATATTTTGTGGGTGAATCGCCAATATGTTGGTGCTGACAGTGTTTTTTGCAATGTTTTCTAGCCTACCCAAAGAAACTAATGTGGAGGAATTCAGCTGTGACCACTGTGGTGACTTGAGAATGCACTGCTCATCAAAGAATGTACAAAAGAAGACTGAAATGGAGGATTGGTCGAGAGCTTCGATGGAGCTAATCTTATAGTTGACTCGTTGCTTCCTTTGTGATGATGTTCTGAAATTCCCAAGTTCTGGCATTGTGGGGTTTGCATGGCAAAGTAACCGTGGAGAAGCCAGGCTATCACAAACTGATGGATTTTGACAAGAGAGGAGGGAGGGGTGAAATGGAAGAAACAAAAAGAATGTCTAAATCTGGTGGTCGGGGAGCCAATTGTGGCCGGAGTACGGGGACCAGCTCCGGAGTCTTAATGGTGGGTCCCAACTTCCGAGTGGGGAAGAAGATTGGATGTGGGAATTTTGGAGAGCTTCGTCTAGGTAAGAGACGATTGGTTTGCTTGTTTCTGGCGTTGCCTCCCTGTTGCGATGTGTTTTTGTTCTCGGCGGAATGATTGTTTGAGTTATGCCATGAACTGGATGTCCAGTGGTATTGAAGCTTAATAAGGATACCTCATTAATAGATTACCCTTAATGATTAATTTTTAATTGGCCCATTGAGCACATGGCTTCCCAGGATGATGTGTAAGATTTCCAGCCTTTTAATCTATGCTGCACAAATCCTTACTGATTTTCTTTTTTCTCTTTTCCCCGTCCATCTCTGATGTTGCCACTACTTATTAATAATTACAGTTTTGTTGGGATGAGAGGGTGAGATGAACGTACTGCTTCAAATTGGCCCTGTAATGTTTGTTAGACAATATTTCTAATCTTGTTTTATTGCTGTACAGAATAGATTTTTCAACTTTGTTTTTAAATGGCGACCTGTTCCGTGTGAATGAGTTAATTGGTAATTAATTGATAGATAAAAACTAACCAGTAAAACTACCTCTGGTGTTTCTAAACAATTAAATTGCAAGAGTTTACCTCTGCTTTATTTCACAATTGAAGACAATTTTTCCATTTAAATGTAATTTTCTGGGAATACCAAATTAATATGTTATACACTTGTATATTTTTCCCATCCAACAGAAAATGCATAGACTTGTGAAAGATGTGGCCTTTTCTGTAATTATAGCACTGAAATGTGCACATTTTATCTGATTGTGGATTACACATGAATTGTCTCCTATTTTAATTATTTTTGTATTTGCTTTATCCAGGGAAAAATTTGTACACAAATGAGTATGTGGCCATTAAACTGGTAAGTTGCAGTTTAAGTGCCTGTTCTTTGTTGTATCTGTAGCAGCAATAAAGATGAAGTCCAGAACTACTGACACTAAGATATTTGCTCGCACCTCTTGCCCAACTATGAGAGAAGAAATGTTTGTTGTTCAATGTATTAGCACTTGTGTCGCCATAGCCACGCTGGGCCCACAATGCAAAGGATCCTTTTCCCTCTGGCCAAATGGTGCAGTTGAACAAGTTTAAAGGAATGCCAGGTTTGGTTGAACAGGGTGGAAATCCAAATTCATTGTGCGGAATAAATGGTTATGTTTATGTTTACTGTTCAGCAGATCTTTATACTAATATTGTTCATATGTTTTCTAGGAACCTATAAAATCCAGAGCTCCACAACTTCATTTGGAGTACAGATTCTACAAGCAGCTGGGAAATGCAGGTAGGAAATGGGTGTGAATGATTGTGTCTGTCGTTCAGAACTGGTGAGAATATTCTGTCGCTCTTAACAGTGTTTGCTAACCTTGCAAAAACAAATCAAACTTATGTAACTTATCTGTAGATGTGTCTTGCTTATCAATGGTTATGTTAAGTAGTTCTTGTTGTCTAGGATGAAAGAGGCTGTGGTAACCAAAGGAACCGACCATGAATAATGTCCATTTCTAGTTTTGCTTCCTTTTTTGTCAATTTAATAACAGAACCACCACTTACTGCTTCCACCCCCATTTTCACCTGAGCTATTTCTTGGTTAGTTGGGGGGGGGGAGGTGGTAAGTGGTGATTGGAATTCAATTGTTTCTCCCCAAAAAAAACCTATGGGATGCTACCTCACTGTTTTATTGACAGACAGTGAATCAAACCGTCCCCTGCTATATGGCAAACAGTACAGTGCCTGCTGGACATCAGAGGAGCTCTAAACTCTTGTGCTTTAATATTTTCAAAAAATATTCCGTCATCCCCCCCCCCCCCACTCCAGCAGGCTGCTGCAGCTCGCTCGGAAAACCTGCCTTTTTTAATTGACTCCTGAAACCGGAGCATTGGAGAATCAAGGCACAAAATAATGTATCAAAACATGGGGAGTAATGTGAGACGCAGCAAACCAATTCTTGAAGTGCTAAACACCTGCTCCGTCTGGGAAGTGGGATTCTCGCTGTGATTGGAAGCTACTGATTAAATGCATTTTGCTTTGACAAGATACTGATTTCTATGTTTTATTTCCCCCAAACTGCAGCAGACGCAGAGAGGTTTACACCTTGCTCTCTTTGGCAATAGCTAATTGGAAACTGCTTCTCCCCAATTTGATGTGCTGCGTATTGTCTGTGTAATCGGTGTTCTGTGTAACAACAAATTGTAGTATCCTGGCTTGGGAAAAATCTCTCCCTAAAGGTCAGTGGTCCTCAGTCCTTCAGAGAGAGAGCGAGAGAGAGGAAGAATGGGGGATGCTTCTATTTCAATCTATAATTGCACATTCTGCACTATTGCAGCCAGATTGCATCACCATCTAAATTAAATCATAAAACAGAGTTGTGCTGTTACAAGGGTTTGTATTTTGTTTTTCAGGGCTGTGTAATGCGTTTGAATGATTTTTCTGCTCTGGAGATTATTGGACATCTCTTTGGTGGAGTGCTTTCCAGGGGGTAATAATCCCTTAAAAAAAATTGGTCACTCAGTCCACAATTGTTTGTGGGACACTGTTGTGCGCAATTGGTTGCCACATTTCGCCCACAAAATACACAGTCAATCCACTGGACAATATATTCTGTGAAGCGCCTTGAGACATCTCAATAGAATGATAAATGCAAGTATTGTTATGAAGTGTAACTGGGCTAGAGAGGTGATAATTAGTCAAGAGATTGCGCTCTTGTCAGTTACCTTGAGTTCTCTATGGGAATGGCTCCCGAGTCGTGGTGTGAGGAACAGGAGCGAGTGATCTCTCCTCCTTGCTCCAATCCTGCTAGTGTTCAATCCCCCGAGGCTCATACATGAATAATGGCTTCTCGGGTGAAGCTCTTGAGGGCAAATCCCAGTGGCAGGAATGAAAATGTCACTAGTCGGAGAGAAAAATGAGCACTTTCCTATTATAATTCTACACAATTTTCACTTGTTGAGCCGCTCAATAATGGTTTCCTTGTCTCTTTTCAGAGGGAATTCCTCAGGTTTACTACTTTGGCCCCTGTGGGAAGTACAACGCCATGGTACTGGAGTTACTGGGACCTAGCTTGGAGGATTTATTTGATCTTTGTGATCGGACATTTTCACTTAAAACTGTACTAATGATCGCTATACAGTTGGTAAGTAGGACATTCTGCCAACCATTGCTGTGTGAAGGGAGGTTGGGTTCACCAGATTCATTGGGAAAGTAGTCGATGTACAATTGGGGTTTGCTCTGCTGTACTTTGCGGATGCTGACCTCGGCATTGTGGTTTTGTCTCTCAGATTACACGGATGGAATTTGTACACAGTAAAAGTTTGATATACAGAGACGTTAAGCCGGAGAATTTCTTAGTGGGACGACCGGGGAGTAAACGACAGCATACCATTCACATCATAGACTTTGGCCTTGCCAAAGAATACATAGATCCAGAGACCAAAAAGCACATCCCGTACCGAGAGCACAAGAGTTTAACCGGGACGGCACGATACATGAGTATAAACACACATCTGGGCAAAGGTAAGCTGTGAGGATGCTGGTTGAGCAAGCGCCTCCTAGTGGCGCAGGGCTGCATGGTCACTGTTGCGATCGGCCATGAATCTGTATGTTGCATCCGATCACTTTCGAGTTGCTTTTAATTTCACTGCCAACTTCCTTTTTTGCTGCTTCTCAGTTGACTGCTTTGTAGCTCCTATCCTGCTTGCACCACATTTAATAGCAGTAAGCCTTGCATTTTTCATTTTTTGTGTTTACGTCTCATGTGTTTATGTTATAATATGAATATTTTGATTCCAATATAGAGTTTTACAGCGCAAAGGGAAGCCACTCTTCTCTTGCTTTTGGTGTCTCTCTGACTGCCTGTATACTGGGAAAGATCTGATCAGTTTCAACTTTTTTATTATATATATATATATGAACATAAAAACTTGCTAGTTGAAAGAAGACCAACGTCCATCCAATTCACCTTCCACCATATCACTTGATATGTCATGTGCCAAACTGTATACCGTATTCTGAGATATTATTTATATAGTAGGAGCTTCCAATACTCTGTGGATGTATAAGATTAGAAACTCCCACGGTTTGCAAAGTGGGCTTTTATTTGAGCTGAGTTCGGCTGGTGCAAAAACACAGCTGGGCATTTATTCACGAGGGAGGGGGGTAAGGGGGGGAACATTACCCAGTACAAGACTGCTCTTACACGCGTCTCCTTCTGGTTTTCTTAAGAACTCACTTTCACAGGTTTGATTGCTTTCTGCCAAATCGTGCCCAGGGAACCGTAGGAGATGAGGTTTTTATAAAGAAAATCAATCCAATATCCAATTGCTTTTATCGTTCTACAAACACTCGTACACTTTTCATCTTTCAAAAGATGCCCCCCAAAAATGTTTTTATCGCGGACAACTAAAGCAAAGTTGATGTAGAACTTGGCAGCTCACGTGTTCCTCTGCAATAACTGGATGTGAATTGTGCGATGTATTTGTTCACAGAACAAAGTCGAAGGGATGACCTCGAAGCACTAGGGCACATGTTTATGTACTTCCTCCGAGGTAGCTTGCCATGGCAAGGTCTCAAGGTGAGTGAAACCCTAGACTGCAGGTTAAGTTATTCATGTCAGAGTATTGCTCTTGTGAGGAATATTGAGGAGCAGAATATGGCGCTATGTGGACAGGTCTGCTTTCTGTAGTTCAGTTTGATCATTTTCACAACTTTTTAAGGCTGCAGTATACTGTCAGAAGTGACATGTTAGCAAAGCCTGATTGTTTGGGGAAACTCAATGGATATAGTTGGTTGTGTTTAACTTTTTGCTGGTTTACATGTTTTGGCATTCTTCCCAGTATTTCTAAGTTGACTCCCTGTTGATTTGTTGGTTTCTCACCAGGAAGTCTGTGACTGGTAAATAATTAGTATTCAATGCCTCGGAAATCTGAGTATCAAAATGCTTTTTGAGGCCCAGGGAGGAGGCTTTGAGGTCAGTCAGTGGTGGAGGTCCCTGTATAGTTATTTCCCTTCAGAGAAACAAATCATTGACTGACTCTTTACAGATGTCCTCTTAACATACTGTATTATAAATGTCATTTCAAATTACACTTATTTGCTGATGTGTCAAGTTACATTCTGTATGGAACTGTGTTGTGTGTGTTCTAGGCTGACACATTAAAAGAGAGATATCAGAAAATAGGAGACACCAAGCGAGCTACACCAATTGAAGTCTTATGTGATAACTTTCCAGGTTTGAGACGTTTTTTCTTTTTAAAATAAGCTAAATAGCCTAGGATACAATCTCTGTAGAACTGTACTTTTGTTCATTGTTCAAAATGATTGCTAATTCCTTGATTATAGCACGTGCACATCAAGAGAGAAAGTGACTGTCTTAAGGATAAGTGCTATCAGTGGTCTGATCTGTGTCCGAGTATTCACACTTGTAGGAAAGTTGTGGTTCAGAATCGATGGGGATGGGAAGCAAGATATCATCTCTTTCGGTTTCCTAAACAGACACAGAAAAGAAAAAGATGGCCTTCAATTGGTCTGAAGATAGACTAATGCTAACACCAGTGTTGTGTCGTGCAGTCCAAGTCCCTTACATATAGTTGCCTCCAAACTGAACTTCCGAAATAGATAACTGCAGACTTCAGTTGAAGAATGTTGTCAAACCAGTTGTCCCAAAAATAGACTGAAACGGGTTGAGCATAATTGTTGTTATGTTGACTTTCCTGCTCTCAAGTTTCCATCCTCTAGAATTGCTGTGACCACGAGAGAGATGTAGAACTTGACTTCATTTCATGTCTGTGTTTTAGAAGAAATGGCAACATATCTCCGCTATGTGCGAAGACTCGACTTTTTTGAGAAACCAGATTACGAATACCTGCGGAAACTCTTCACAGATTTGTTTGACAGGAATGGCTTTGTGTTTGATTACGAATACGATTGGGTTGGCAAACCAATAGTAAGTATTTATAAATTTCACAATGGCTATTCAGACTCTTGTTTTTCCCTCTGAGCACCTCAGAACCGCAAGATAATGTGAGTCGTATAACCAGGTGCCCCAGGTCTAACCGGACAAAAGAAAAGATGCTCATTGAATGAAGTATTAAACTCCTTCCAAGATTTGAACACATCCAAAAGGGACAAGCTTGGCTTCTGACTCTGTAAAAGCATAGTCTGATGCTTTGCCCACCACATCAGTTACCAGGGTCAGTGCTGCCCCAAATTGGCTGATCTTATCTGGAGGTGGGTGTACACCACTATAATTGGCCTCAGTGTCATAGTCGAGATGAAAGTTGCCAGGGTTCTTTTTGCTGATTGTGGTCGGAAACATTCGTGCTTGTGGTTGTCTAAGGAAGACCTTATCAGGCTCAACAGCAAAACTCTACACTTTAACACCATGTCTGGGCTCACACTTAGGCAAGATATCAAACTGCTTCCGGCAGACAGGGATTGTCCTGAGGCGTCGTCTTCAGGATAGATGGGACTTAGTGAATAATTCAAGGATAAAAAGTATTTTTGTATTGCCTTAAATATTAATCTTTTTATTACAACTTCAGCCAACTCCCATTGGTTCAATCCACGCTGACATGGCGCTCTCTCCAACCAACCGAGATAAAGCACAGCAACAAACCAAACATCAGGTAAGGAGCAGGGAATGAGATTCTCGAGTGATGATCTACATTAGATCTGTAAATGTGTGACACATACGTACGCACCTACACCACCGTTCTAATGTTGCCCATACAATTACACCCCATGTTACATCTGGTTGCTGCTGGCATCACTTCTTACGTCCGGTACAGACTGATGGGCCAGCTTCCTGTACTTGTGCTAGCCCGGCTAGTGAGGCACGCAGGAAGGTGGCCAGTCATTGCTGCAGTTCACTGCACTTCCGGCTGCTGTGGGTCCACAGGACACTCGCATCATAAGCAAACCTGGGCTTCAGTGAGGCTCCTGGTCACAGCGATGCCTTCTAATTGATGCCATTCAGACTGGGCAGCGAAGTGTGGCTTGATTCTAAAGATCCGTTCACAATAAACCAACCCCCTCCAGATTCCATCCAGCAGCTCTAAAATGTCCACTGCTGTCTGCCCCCCACTGTATTCCGTCGCACAGCAGACCTGCTTACCTGCTGAATGGTGTGTGTGAACGCTGCCATTATCTTGCATTAGGTTGAATTGCACCTTTTTATTTGGGCTTTAAACTGGTATCTGAAGAGTAATGTGATTTTATTTATTTGGATCTGTGGGAAATTGCCATGAATTCAGGTGTCTGATATTCAGGTACACAGTACAGTGAAGCCTTGGCACTGGGTATTTGTGGAATATTGATCTTCAGTGTTTACCCACTTGGCCATTCGATGAGCACAATGACATCTTTCTACCTAATCTGGTCCATTATAGACAGCAACACAAACTGGGCTATGTGTTGGTGAGATCACAGCAGCACGACTGTGATGGGTTTCTGTAGCTGGCTGCTAGACTGTGGTGTATTATACTCTGCCTACTGCTTAGTGTGTGGAATGTGGCAGGAGTTGGACTCCAGCATGTCGGCTGATGAGAGATTTGCCAACACTTTTCTTCTCATGGTCTTAACTATTAGTATTAACGGATGTGACCCCAATCCAGGCTAAATGTACACCGTGGCTTGTAACTGGGCATGTGAACATGCTCGGTTAAAGCATCCTTTACATTTGTGGTTTTAATTTAACCATTTCATTCTCATTGGTTTACTCCCAATAATTCAACAATATTCTCCTTGTATCTGTTCTGTATACAAGATGTGCATGTCGTACATACACCATCACAACTGGAATTTGTCACTTGTGCAAGGGTTACAATTTCAGGTTCAGTTTGAGTAGAAAGGTGGGTTGTGTTGGTCAAATGCCTTGAAATGACCATCAATCTTGTTTGTACATCAGGTGCAATTTTTGTTGTTGTGAACTTTGGAGTATAATCGCAGCAACTGATCATACACATATTATATACACACACACACAGAAAGTTTAGGCCCAAATGACCGTGGACAAGTCTTGGATTGGCGATGTGAAGCTGTCAGGCACACATTAACTTGGGGTGTGTATGTACCATGGCTGACGAACGATTTGCACCTGAATATCAGTCCTAAGTTGCACTCATCTTAGTAAACAATACATATCTGAAATAATAATAATACTGATGATCCTTATAATTGATCTAGCCCTTTTACGTTGGGACATCTCAAAGCACTTCACAGGATTCACTGTAAAGTGTAAGGACTATTTTGTAGGTGAATATATGTTTTGGTTTATACAGCGTTAAGACTTACTTGTATTTTCCAGTGGGATCATTTCAGTCTTTAAGTTAGAGATCTTATTTGTTAGCTTAGAGCCCGGGTAAACAAATAACAAACAATATAGCTCTTTATCACGTCTTTGAGACGTCTTAAAGTGCTTCACAGGATACACTGTAAAGTGAACTGATTGTGTATTTTGTGGGTGATACACCAGGATGGTCCTGTAGCTAAACCATTGCCTTTATTTTTGTTTGCTGCTCACTGTATCGCTTCACTTACAGTCAATACTCCTCACTTTGCTTTACTCTTAACACACTCTGCAATTTTAATTTTGCCGATTTATTTAATGATTTGCATGTGTATAATTGCTCAGGTTCTGCTTGCTTTGAGCATGATTTTCCCCTCATGTTTTTTTTGTTTTCCTTCTGTCTTGTCTATTTTTTTTTAAACATTGGCAGTTAGCAGATCGCAATGGAGCATGTGAACCTCAGGCCAGTCGCCAGCCCAGTGCCCATCATGTGGGAACACACCTAGCGTCTGACAGGCTCGAGGGTTCTGTACAGGTACACTCTGCAAAGCGCCGCACCTTCAAACCCACCTTTGGTGTATTGCTCATTAAACACTGTGTCCTCTTTCCAAACCAACCCTGGGGACTTAACTTCTGTTTGAATGTTTGGTTTCCTTATTGAAAGCGGGGACATCAAGTCCCTAAGCTCCCAATTCTCTTTTAGCTTTCCCAGCTCAATCTGATATTGTCGTACAGGGCGAGAGCAGTTGCAGTGGTTGATGCACACCCAATGCTGGAGAACTGGCTTTCCCATTGTAGTGCTGTAATGAAGTGGAGAAACCAAGGTCCCGCATGCTGTGATTCCAGTTCAGGGCTTTGATTCCCAGCCCATTGACCACGGGTCATTTTGACACTTTGTGGCTGGAGGTGGGTCTGGCCCACTGGTGTTCATCCAGGAATGCATGCAGAGAATGTGATCCTCAAAGTTTACATTAGGATGGCTATAATAGCTCTTCAGTCAAGTATCGTGAGACTGGTCACAGCTCGTAGACACCTAAAACAGGAGAGTCAAAGCTTTGATGCCAGCTTTGGGCTGAGTTAGCAGATTTCAGTCAGGTCAGCAGTGGTTGTACCTCTGCAACCTGGATAAGTTCCAATGCATAAAGCTTTCAGTTGTCTGCTATTCTCGCATGCACATATACACACAACGCCTACAGAAAATTCCAATCAACTGTCTACGGCAATTGCAAAATAGTTGAATATTGAGCTGACTTTGCCTGTTGCTTATTGATTGTGTTGGAAGCATTTCCGTTTCAATCCATGTTTTCCTGGTCCCAGAGTATTGAATAATACACAAACGTTTCTTCCTTTGGGGCGACCACAAGTCATTGGCAGGAAAGAGCGGCTTTGACTGACTGCCCCTGACGTCCTGATCTCACAGCCTACACAGGGCTGGTAATGGTCATATCTGCAATCTTAAATGGTCTATAAAAGGAAGGTGATCATACGGCGGGATTTATAATTGTTCTGCATCTCAAAGATTGGTACAGTGTGCAAGATACAACACTACTTCACTATTTGGGAACCCTTTCAGCATCTCTCTTGCATTTCATGATGGTATGAAAGGCTCATCAATTGAGCTTCTCTGTCTTCCCTCTCTAGTTATGTATCTCTGCAACCCTGAGACAGTTGGTCTATGTGACAGTCAGTTTGTTCAGTTTTGCGTCATCTTATGACGTTAACCTTTTGTGGTGTTGTTCTGCACTATACCTTGCTGAGGAGTGTAGCATTTTAACGTTTTGCAGCATCTTTTGGCTCGCGTTATGTGTCCTATTTGCCAACGAGGACTTAATAATAACATCCTTTTTCAATTCCTGATTAAGCAAAGGGAACACTTCCTGATTGCTGCTCACTCTGCAAAGAGATCTAGAGATTGCAACCATGCAGTGATCCTCAAAGAAGGTTGACTCTAGTAAACCTTGGTATACAGTGTGTGGCTATTGTAAGAGGAATTACAGTTTGCTGCTGCGTCCTTAGTGCCATCTCTAGGGGAATTGACCGCTCTTTCCAGCCATGCAGGTTCTGGTTCTCTCGTCTCTAAATGTTCTTGTCCTGGATTATTCGATTGTGCTTTTAATGTTAATTATGTTATACATAAAATCTTCAACAATGAAGTAAAAGTTTACTTTTCGAATGTTTTTGAAGGTGGTGAGTTCAACGAATGGAGAACTTAACACTGATGACCCCACGGCAGGACACTCCAATGCGCCTATCACAGCCCCAGCAGAGATTGAAGTGGCAGATGATACCAGGTACGACCCACTGTCCTGTCCAGGTTTCTGTCCAGCCTGACGATCGTTTCCGTGTAATAAATGTCGAAAACCCACATCCAGCTGAGCTCCTGGAGAGAGAGGTTTGTGTTCAAGCTCTGTACGTGGATCTTGTTGAAAAGAACACAGAGCGTTGTACTCCATGAGGTCTGTTATCTCAAAAATGGTTTAAGACAAGAAATGGGATGATATAGGCAGTGGGGTGGATGGTGGTGGGTTGGTACTGTCACTCCCCCCCACCCCCCTGTATCTGTTCTGATTTGTGTCTTTGAAACAATGAAATGTAAAATTAATTTAACCACAGAAAACGCTGTAATTAAGCAAGAATTGTCAGTTGGCAATCAAAGAGAATAAGGATAAGAGAGCTAGATGGTGTGGGTGATGGAATTGGCATGTGTACAGCAACGTCTGTTGTGGTTGAGGCACATTCATTGATTGAGTCGATGAAGACCTATGGCAGGACACTCCAATGCGTCTAGTATCTGTAGACAAATGACCCTGATTGTTTTAAGGCTGAAATGGATGTTTTTCCTCTGCAGGTGCTGCTGTTTCTTTAACAGGAGGAAGAGGAAAACTATTCAGCGCCATAAGTGACTTTGACAGCTGCTGTGAGGTTTACATGTGTGCTCTGCAACTTTCCAGTCACGATAGATTCAGAAACCCATCCCTTTTGTGGCAGGCATCTCTATCTGCTGTTGTCTACCATCTTGACTCCTGTGCCCAGTGTGTTGGGCTGCTGACATTGGCACTCTTTCCTGCTGTGAAACTCATACAGGTTGTGGACTTGACAAAATTCACCATTGCAAAGTTTTAAACAGCCCATTTCTGTGGGGATTCACAACAACACACAAAAAAAACATTTGTTTTTGAAAATCAACACGAGAAGCTCAGCATTAAGTAGGATTAGTCTCTCGGTGGGATCAAGGCAAGGAGCATCGAGGGCAAGTTTTTACAAAGATCCCCTCCCCCCCGCCCCCATGGAGGAAAAAGGGGCAGCAAATGGTTACTTCAAGATTGTAACTCTGGCTGTTGGCACAATCGGAAGCACAACCTAAGATGTGCTTAGTTCCTCTCCTGTGTTCTAGAGCAAGTCAAACATTTCTCCTTTGTTTTTTTGGTCAACGTGAATGCGTGTTTTCTCGCAGTGGGGGGTGATGTCCATGGTCAGGCTTTCCCTCAGCGGGTATTGCGCTTTCCATAACTGTGTGTAAAGAGCTTTTTAATGGGGTCTGATTGTGCAAACACTTCTTTCCGCATATCTTGTCTAAGGGAATACAAAAACCGGTGGGAAATGCAGCATGTTCTTAAATGTAATCATGACCGTGTAATGTTTGCAAAGTGTAAATGAGGCTGTTGTCTTATTGAACTGGGTAGAGTTAGGACCTGGTAGTTCACAGAAATTTTCAAATGGGGGAAGAGAGAAAAAAAAATCTGGAGATTTTTTTTGAGTTGTGGCAATGAGGCCAGAGGTGGGCATGTGATGGCTTCCTTATGGCGAGCTTAGATTCAGGCCTTTCTGTGGAGGAATGAGCCAGACCAGGGCAGAGCAGCCGGCTTGCTTAGTCAGGGACAGTTTTTGCACAGTTCATGGCTTCTTGCATAATCGTACTACACACCCAGGAGAGATTGGAGCCTTGATTGGTTGTCAGTAAATCGTAGAGGAACAACGTTAATGGAAAGCCTCCCACAGTTTGAAACTATTTGACGATGATAAGGCGCAAAGCAAAGCTTCTCTAGACAGACCAGCGTTCAGCTACAGGTACATTTGTCCGGAAGGAAGTAGGCATAAGGACTCCTCCGAATCAGCCGTTTATTATTGTAGATGAAATGGCAACGAGAAGGAATTTTTCTTTCAGTAAGTTATTATTGATTCACGTGTTTAGGATGAGCAAATAGCTCCAGGTTTCTGAAGACTTTGTTGGAAAGCTAATGAAGCAATGAACAGTGACACAGTCCCTTCACATCAGGATCTGAAGCCACGGCTGCTCAGCCCCCCCTGAAGTCGGACACAAGTTCATTGGATTTTTGAAGCCACACCTAGCTTTACCCATTGCTTTCATCCTGGCTCAAAGCTTTTAATAAACCACTCATTTTGAACAGGGGTGGGAGTTAGTTGTTGAAAAACAAAGATTTTATGTACAATTTTAATTGCAAAATCTACTGTTTTATTTCCAAGTGCATTTCCTTTCAATCTTGTACCATTTTAGAATACTCTCTTCCTATTTAGTACAAAGTTGCAGGTTCTACTCAGGAAAATAGGGTACTTGAGAATGGGCCCCTGGCAAGACTGGGTTATTTGCTCATTATCCATCTCAATAGAAACTGGCTAACTCTAGGTCCAAGTAATACTAGGGCTTCTACTTCACTCTAGAGTCTACCCTTGGTGTCTTGCACACAACTACACTGAGGTCATATTCTTTACTGTATCCTGCCTGTTATTGATGCTGTCTTCATCGCACGGTACCCCACGAGAGGTGCAGAGGAAAGCTCGCCCACCACGACCACATGTGCAACATTCTCCTTGTGTAAGATTCAATTTTTATTTGGTTTTAAAAGATTTTCTTCCCTGAAAAATGCTTTAGTCTCAATTGTGGATTATGTCCATTTACCAAGAGTAGGATGTTCGGCAATGCGGATACAGAGGGTGAAAAGGAATGTTTTGCCAGCCAGATACCCAAGTGAGTAATATGTTTAATAGACTCCAGTTTGATAAGCAAGGAACTCCAGTGTGCTACATAATGTTTGTTTGAGTGATGGTTGGAAAAGCCTGAACTACTAGAATAATAGTTTGCATTATGAATTCAGTTTGTAAGCATGAATAAATGATTGTTGTTAAAGGGTCTGATTGGCCTATGTGGGGTAACAGGTACCCTGGAACGCTAATGTGCAGGTGGGTTTTTCTCTCTCTGCACACGTGATGATACGAAGAAGATATTCAGAGATGAAAATCACTGCAATTATGACATAAAAAAAATAATGTCACAAAGTTTTGTGTCCACAAATACTATTGTGGAATATTTGATTTCCCCCCCCACCCCCTCTCTCTCTCCGGGAATGAGAAGTCAATGTGTCGAAAGGATGTTCAGAGGTCTGTTAGATGAAGCTGTTGCAGTTTTTTTTCCCCCCCTTCCTCCTTTCCCTCTCCACCTGCCCTGCCCAGCGTTCAGATACAAACCGTTGGACTGAAACGCCAGGTTGGTGTTGTTTAGCAAAGTTGGGCACAAATGGAAGTTCCTCCCATTATAATCTCACATCACCAAAGCAGCCAGTATAACGCAACCAGAATTTCAGCCGGCGAGATTACTGGGAAGAGAAGAGAAGGCTGCACAAAAAACACATGCTTTTCATGGAGATGACTTCAGCTCAGCACAGCTTGAGTTATTTTCCACGCACGGAAAATCGTGGAACCCAAATGCTGATCAGAGACTACCTTTTAAATAAAAAAACATAGTGCTTGGTGGGCTGTTGACAGTCATACCTTATTTTAATAGTTATTACTGTATATAGACTTTAAAGATATGTGAGCAATTTCAGTTGCCAGAAATGACGCAAAGAATTTTGACTGTGAATCGTCTCTGTTTCTTCTTTTAAAAAGTGGCTCGGAGAGGAGAGGTCATGATAGTGCAGTGATAACGCCAGCAGAGCCAAACAGAAACCCTTCATCCCCTGCCTTTCTGTTGCGATGGGTCTGTTACTGGCTGCTGTTGTGATTGATTATCCGGATGTGATTATCGGTGTTATTGTGACGATCACACGTTTTTGCTTTCTTCGGTTCAGATTTTGATAACTTTTTGTGATCACTCCCTCTCCCTCTCTCTCTTTCTCTCTCTCCAAGCCCCCCACCACCCCCCCCTTTCCCCACCTCCCCATTGCCGAGAACGGTACCGTACCTCAGAAAGTCGAACTGTGTGTTCTGTGACCTGTCTAGCAAGAGTTAAATCACGAGACACAAAAAATTGACCTATTCACAACAAGGACGTAAGCAATTTTATAAGAGGCTGTCATTAATTTTGGTGACTGTAATAACAAGTGAAAACAACCAAATAAAGGGAATACAAGCAATTTATATTTGTGTCTTTGTTTTTCATTCTATTTGCTTCAATAACTCTCAGCGTGTTAAATGTACCAGATATTTTTGCAGCCTTTCAGCACAAGGAAGTTTATTGCTGTTACTTTGTTCTTATCGATGCAGTTTAAGCAGGCTCTTGTCCAGACTTTCCCAAAGCCTGTTGTATTAGTAATTCCCACCCGTGCCACCGCAAATCCCACAGTCTCCATATATATCTTCCCAATTGAAACTTGATGCAAATACAAAAAAGGAAGATCACCATTATTGGTGGACAATTTTCATGTTGTCACGGAGAATAAACAGCAGCAACGTGAATCCTTGTCCTTGTTTTTATTTATATTACTGTACTATTCATATTTCTCCTAAACCTCTGCTCCTTCGACCTCTCACACCAGGGGCAATTGTGCTGCTCCTGTGAGTGAAAAACAACCCTTTCTCTTCAACTTCTATCTGCATTTGATGTGCATATTCATTGTTTTCCACAGTTCAACTTATTCCCAGTTATTCATCGCTCTCAGAAATGCCTTTGCTGAGCCAAGTGTGGTGTCTGGATCATTAGGTACTTTGCAAGTTGTGCCTAAATGTAAGTTACAAAGAGAAACTGCAACAATGGCTTTTTATAAAGAGCTGATCCATTCCAGCAAAGCTCCATACTTTCAAAGCTCAAGACAATATTGCTCACTTTTAAGTCTCAGAGCGTGAGGCAGCTGAAAGTCACCTGAGGGGGCACGAGGTTAGAACTGGTGCCCTCGTAGATGTTATTTTGTGACTTGTTTACAGTAATGGAGATGCCTGGACCTGTCTGACTTTGGGTCAAATTCACCTGCCCATGCCTTAGACTTGCACGATTATCCCCCATGTCTTCCCCCTCCCACCTCTGCCATGCTTTACAGCAGGTTTGCCAGGTTGTCCCCACAGCTGGAATGTTTGGTGAATTGATGGTAACCTTTTCCAATCAACTATGCAAAGGGTGAAGCCTGAGTAGGATTTGGACCCAGAACCACAGAATGACTGACTTGACTGACTGACTCAGCCATCGGGATGAGAGTCCTACTCAGATGGGATTACAGTAAAATAATAAAATAATCCCTGTGTTTGACATTGTGCCTTTCCCTTTGGGAGGACATCTCAAAGCGCTTCACAGGATATATTGTAAAGTCTATTGTAGTGAAATAATAATCCTTGCAATTGATATCGCACCGTATCATGTCAATGTCTCAAAGTGCTTCACAGGGTCTCGCATCAGCGTAGCATTGAGACATAATTAATACTTCACCTTCTCCCCCCACCCCCAACCTTCTGTTTCACAGTCCCTTTGCCTTGCTCCCTCCCTCGCCCCTTTCAATACATGTCTCAAGAGACCTTCCTCTTCAGCCACCCTCCCACCTCTGCCCTCTCTGTCCTCCACTTCTCCTGATCCCAACCCCTAGCTTGGGTACAAATCCCGACTGTTCAATGCCTCAGGACATCTTCCTGACTGTGGGTTACACTGGGTGGTGGGAGCAGCTGTGACCACACGGTGTCACTGTCAGGCGATGGCATTGTGCTGATCAGATCACTGAATAAATTGTTGAAGTGGTTAGTGATTCCATTATGACTTGTGTGGCGATGCCCCCTTCTATGTTTTGCAGTTGTATAAGGCCAGAATCATACTCTTAATCTACACAGTTAAATCTTAGTACGTACGTCCCTCTATCTCCTGTAATTTATATTATGAAGATGAATTTGTGTTCTCATGGCACGGATGGAAAGGTCCCACAAACAATCTTGAAGTGAGTGGCAGGTTCTTATCTGAGGGATTATCGGCCAGGACTCCAGGAGAGAGGAAAACTCCCTTCTCTTTTCCAATAGCATCGCAGGATCTTTAACGTCCACTTGAATTGGCAGACAGGGCCTCATCTGAAGGGCGTCATCTCCGACAATGTGGGCCACTGCCCAATAGTGGGATCCGCAGGTTCATTTCAGCATTGGGCAGTGCTTTTGCTGCCCACAACCTGCTGCCAGACATGAGGGATCTGCCAACTGAGCCAAGCATTATAGGGTAGTCCCTCAACCGCACGTTGTGTAACTTGTGGAGAAGCCGCTCAAATATAACAGCTGCCACCAGGCCCTGCTCTAATATCAAGGTGGCTGGATTTGCCATCCGATCCCACATGATCTGTTAATCATTGTGTGGGTGACAGCAGGTCTGACGACGCAATCGCACTCACTGTCAGGTGTTGACATTGTGGCTGCCCTGAAAACATTGCTTCACCTTGTGATTCGTATCAAACAAACTGGCTGACGTGCCGCCAGTTAGGCTGCCACAGTATATAATAATAACACACACTAATCCTTGCACTTGACATGAGGCTTTATCACGTCGTTGAGATGGCTCAAAGCGCTTCACAGATTATACTGTAAAGTGGATTGTGTATTTTGGATGAGAAACATAGTCCCACAAACAGTTGAGTGACTAAATTATTTATTTTTTTGATTTTAGCTTCCAGGCTCCTGGTGAGAGAAGATTGGGTTCCTGCAGGAAATCAAAGCCCTGAGCATCTGGTTGGGTGAGGAATCTGATTTTAGTTCTGGATTTCTGTGCTTGGCTCAATGGCAGACAAACACCACAGTTGCCGTCAGTAATATCGAATTTAAAATTGTAAACATGCTTCAATTTCCCCCAAGAAAGGAAACTACAGCTGTGGAAGAGGCACCAACTTCCTCTGCAGACTTCCTGTGTGGAGCGGAGACTGGAGTCACAGCTCAGCCGCTTGTCACCAACAAAATATGCAGTCACTACACTGTACAGTGAAATCCTGGGAGGTGCTTCGAGACATCCTCTCAACTGGAAAGGCGCTGTACCAAATGCGAGGATTATTAATCACGGTTGGTGTCCCAATGGGCAATCCTTGCTGTGTGTGTATACGTTTGTGTTTGTGTGTGTGTGATTGTGTATGTGTGCGTATACGTTTGTGTGTGTGTGTGATTGTGTATGTGTGTGTTGCCCCGTTTTCACTGCAGGTGTCTCGCTGCTCTCTATGCTTATGTCTGGCTCATAAGTCTGTGGTGTGGTTCTGACGACTAATGGCTGATAATCTCAAATGGCATTTTTAGTGGCGGAAAAATAAATTATTACAGATGTGAAATGGAAAATACATAACTCCCCTCCCCCCTTGGCTTGTTTCAGTGGGTTCTGGTGTGAAATGCTCGTCAGAGTAAGAGAAAGTGGTGTGGTGAGCGCTGAGCTGGCTCTCAGGAAGTGGCCATGATCACGCACGAGCCTGTTTTATAATGAGTGCCGCAAAGGTGTTCTCCCCTGCTTCGCTCAGTCCAACGTTAGCTTTGTCCAGGACCATGCTGTGAGCAGAAATGGCTGGAGCCCAATGAGCGTTCACAGTCACTACACTTTAGTGAGCAGAAATGGCTGGAGCCCAATGAGCGTCCGCAGTCACTACACTTTACAGTAAATACAGTGAAACGTGTTCAGATGTCCCAATGCTGAGATTTACTCCGTATGGGTAACGGTCCAGAGTTTGGCAAATTCTTAAATACAGACTCAATGTTGAGGCCGGGGTTTCTGTAAGTTTCTTTTCGAGAGCGGCGGGAAACTAAAGTTGTCAGGGCTCAGGCTGAACTGAATCATGTCTGTCTGGGCCTCCGACCACGAACTGGAGGCATTTCTTCTGGCTTTGCGCGGCTGAGCTGTGTGGGGGTGTCCCGGGTTGCGCTGTGGGGAGCTGCGTACACTGGGCTGTATCGTGCTGTGCTATTTGGAGATGCACTGTGTGGGGGGCTGGGCTGTGCTATGCTGTACTGGGCTGGAGGCTGTACTGGGCTGTGCTGGGGCTGTGCTGGGCTGTGCTGGAGGCTGTACTGGGGGCTGTGCTGGGCTGTGCTGTGCGGGGCTGTGCTGGGGCTGTACTGGGCTGTGCTGGGGGCTGTACTACACTGGAGGCTGTACTAGGCTGTGCTATGCTGTACTGGGCTGGAGGCTGTACTGGGCTGTGCTATGCTGTACTGGGCTGGAGGCTGTACTGGGCTGTGCTGGGGCTGTGCTGGAGGCTGTACTGGGCTGTGCTGGAGGCTGTACTGGGCTGTGCTGGAGGCTGTACTGGGCTGTGCTGGGCTGTGCTGGAGGCTGTACTGGGCTGTGCTGGAGGCTGTACTGTACTGGAGGCTGTGCTGGGCTGTGCTGGGGGCTGTACTAGGTTGTGCTGGAGGCTGTACTGGGGGCTGTGCTGGGGGCTGTACTAGGCTGTGCTGTGCGGGGCTGTGCTGGGGCTGTACTACACTGGAGGCTGTACTAGGCTGTGCTGGGGGCTGTACTGTGCTGGAGGCTGTACTGGGTTGTGCTGGGGCTGTACTGTACTGGAGGCTGTACTGGGCTGTGCTGTGCGGGGCTGTACTGTGCTGGGCTGGGAGCTGTGCTGGAGGCGGTACTGGGCTGAGTGGGGGCACAGGGTACCAGCGGAGGTCCCGCCTCAGCTGAACGCTCATTGGGCTCCAGACGCAGCGGTTCAGCGCCACCGGGAACACCGACACCGACACAGCCCCGAGAGGGGGTCAGGACACAGCCCCGAGAGGGGGTCAGGGACACAGCCCCGAGAGGGGGTCAGGACACAGCCCCGAGAGGGGGTCAGGACACAGCCCCGAGAGGGGGTCAGGACACAGCCCCGAGAGGGGGTCAGGACACCGCCCCGAGAGGGGGTCAGGACACAGCCCCGAGAGGGGGTCAGGACACAGCCCCGAGAGGGGGTCAGGACACAGCCCCGAGAGGGGGTCAGGGACACAGCCCCGAGAGGGGGTCAGGACACAGCCCCGAGAGGGGGTCAGGACACAGCCCCGAGAGGGGGAGCCCCGCCCGGGGGTCGGGGACGGGATCGGCTTCTGTTCTCTTTCCTTCGGTTGAATCCGATTGGAGTTTTATTTCCTTACAAGTGCGTCTGATTTGGGTTTTTTGGGGGGAGAGTGTGTGTGTGATGTGGGGGTTGGGGGGGGGGAGGGGGTGATGGTGGGGGAGGGGGTGATGGGGGAGGAGGTGATGGGGGAGGGGGTGATGGGGAGGGGGTGATGGTGGGGTGGAGATGATGGGGGAGGGGGTGATGGTGGGGAGGAGGTGATGGGGGAGGGGGTGATGGGGGAGGGGGTGATGGGGAGGGGGTGATGGTGGGGTGGAGATGATGGGGGAGGGGGTGATGGTGGGGAGGGGGTGATGGTGGGGCGGAGCAGCTCAGCGATTGTTTTTTAAAATTGTAATTGAATCAAATTTTCTTTTAAATATTGTAATCGTATTTCCTCTCTCTCTCTCCTCTCAGCAGCCGGAGAGCTTCGGGCGTCAGTAACATCAACATCAATGTGGTCACCTTGGAAGCTGCAGTTGGAGGGAGAAATATAATCTAAATTATCATTGAATCCAAATTATTATTAATAATAAGAAGAAGATTATCGGAGACGGCTGTGGAGCTTCACAGAAGGATTCGCCCACAAATACACAGTCAATTCACTTTCCAGTATATTCTGTGAAGTGCTTTGAGACGTCAAATGCAAGGATTATTATTATAATAAGATACCGTAAAGAACAGTGACTGTTTGTGGGCGGCAGCCGATTGCACCCACCAGCGTCCCACAAACAGTGTCCTCGTGGGTCCATTGACCAGAAGAAGGGATTCTTACCCCCGGAAACCAATCCACCGATCGCCTGACTAACAGGCGGGTCCCCACCGGAGGCTGCTGATGGCTGTCGGAGAGCCCCTATCTCTCTGTCACCGCCTGTGCTACGCTGTGGGACATTTCCTCAATGACCTCTGTGCCTCGCTGTGGTTTACCTACCTGCTGCTCTACATTCACGCCGTCCTGGGCTTCAGCTCAGCAGGGGCTGGGGCGCTGCTGCTGGTAGGACAGCTGGCCGATGCCCTCTCTACCCCCATCATTGGCCTTGAGGCCGATCACGGCCCTGCCTGTGGGTGCTGCGGGCGGAGGAAAACCTGGCATCTTGTGGGTAAGTGTGTGTGTGAGAGTAAGAGAGGCGCTGAGATTCACTGCTCCCCCTCATCCTGGTCTGTCTGTGTGTCTCTCTTACCAGTCTGTGTCGATGTGTATCTCTCTTCCCTGTCTCTCACTGCCCCCTGTACCCAGTGTGCCTCTCTGCCCCCTGTACCCAGTGTGCCTCTCTGCCCCCGGTGCCCACCCAGTGTGCCTCTCTGCCCCCGGTGCCCACCCAGTGTGCCTCTCTGCCCCCGGTGCCCACCCAGTGTGCCTCTCTGCCCCCGGTGCCCACCCAGTGTGCCTCTCTGTCCCCGGTGCCCACCCAGTGTGCCTCTCTGCCCCCGGTGCCCACCCAGTGTGCCTCTCTGTCCCCGGTGCCCACCCAGTGTGCCTCTCTGTCTCCGGTGCCCACCCAGTGTGCCCCTCTGCCTGTGTGCCTCTCTGTGTTTTCAGAATCATCCATGATTGAAGCAGTCACATTTCTTGGCGTTCCTTTATTTTGTGTTTGATAAGATTAAATGGGCCAAAGGGTCTTCTTCACCTGAACCTCCTGTGGGATTGTGTGTGTGTGTGTGTGTGTTGGGCGACCAGTCCCAATTTGCAGTGCGTTTACAGCCTCTCTGTGATTGTACAAGGCATGTGATTTAGTTCCTTGTTCTGGACTTTGTTGATGTTAGCAACCCTCACCCCCCCCCCCCCCCTCCTACGCAGAGACATCTGGCTGAGTTTACTGGGTTATTGTTCCACAGCTCTGTGTGTATGGGGGGTGGGGGGGCTGTCAATGTCTATGGTTCATCTGTGGACAGAGCATTTGTCCGTTTACCTGTGGGGTGTGGCAAGTGATGGTTGTCGGGGCCGGCTAGGTGGGTGGGGGCAAACACTAGACACCCTCGGGAACGAGTCAGTTACAGGCTGTTGCCCCTCCCCCCCCCCCCCCACTCTGCCCATGAGGATGATCACAGAGCCGGGTTGGGGATGATTAACAGGGAGATAAGCCTTGAACGCTCACAGGCTGTTATGGTTTCAGGTGTTGCACCTCGGCCTCCGTGTGCGGGAGCTTTGCAAATCCACCGCCCCCAGCGGCTGTCACTGCACAGGGCGCGACTCATAGTCTTTTTTTATCTTGTTTAAGAAAATCCGCTGTAACATGTCAGAACGAGAGTGAGTGAGTTCCTTCCTCTCTCTCACTCGCTGCCTCTTCTGTAAAGAACACAAGATCGGTCAGAGTCGGTGAAATTTCCACCTATGATTCCTGGAATTCTTTAATGACTCAGCTCCGTTTGTTTCCAGTTACAGGGAAACAAACCTGTGGCGCTCTGGGGAGGGGTGGAATGTCGATTGTGTCTCCTCCCTTCCCACCCCACCCCTCCCAACAACAACAAGATCACATTTGTATAGCACCTTTCACGTCAGGAGGACGTCCCAACAACACGTTGCATTTACACAGCACTTTCACGCGGGCCATGTTGTGAAGCGCTGTGCAGTGGGGGAGGTGGTGGGGGGTGTGGGGGGGAGTCTGACACCGAGCCGGGGGGAGGGAGGGGGAGAGGTCGAGGTGGATAGAGCTGAACGCCAGCTGAAACCCCTTTGCCGGGCTGCGTGGGTTGTTGACGGTGTCAGTGACGGCAGCGAGTGGTTTATTCCATGTTTAATGGTGCTATTTAAGCCCTCTGGGTTCCCCCCTGCCTGGGTGGTGGTGGGGGGGGGGTCGCTGTATAAATACAAGTAGTGCCTTGGGACGTCCTCCCGACTTGAAGGGCGCCATACAAATGTAATCTTGTTGTTGTTGTTGGCGCGGGCTGTAGACCTCTGTCTGTTGGCCTTGGCCAGCTCGCTCCAGCCACTCACGTCTCCTTGACCTTGTGTTTCAGGCACTGTTTGTGTGGCGCTGTCCTTTCCGTTCATCTTTAACCCCGCGCTGGGCAGGACCCCAGCCACTCCCGAGTGGGCCCAACTGGTCTATTTCCTCCCTTTCGTGGTGATATTCCAGTTTGGCTGGGCGGCCACACAGATCTCGCACCTCTCCCTCATCCCCGAGCTGGCCAGCTCCCAGCAAGAGAAGGTGGAGCTCACCGCATTCAGGTCAGTCAGCACTCGCTCCTGTTTCCCTGATCGTGCCCAGGTGAGAGAGACGTTAAATTGGGATCCCGCTGTGCTCTTGGAAAAGAGAAGGGAGTTTCTCTCTCCCGGTGTCCTGGCCACCAATCCCCCAGATAAAATCGGTCACTCAATCCACGACTGTTTGTGGGACACTGCGAGTGCAATTGGCTGCTGTGTTTCGCCCACAAAATATACAGTTATTACACTTTACAGTTTATCCTGTGAAGCGCTTTGGGACGTCTCAACGAGGTGATGAGGTGCTGTATCAAGTGCAAGGATTATTATTAACCTGTCCACTCCCTGGCTCTCTCCTGTCTGGGTGCATTTGCTATGTCCCCGCTTTGTATTCCTGCTGGCTCGTGGATGTTTTTGTGGTTGTCCCGGAATTTGGGGTGTGTTTCCCGGGATTTAGTGCCGAGGGTGACAAAATTCCAAGTTGACTGTGGAGCAGGAATCCTGCCGGAGGTGTGGACGCACCTCACCGTTTGTTTGTGTTTGTTGCAGATACGCTTTCACGGTTGTGGCCAACATCACGGTGTTTGCTGTGGCCTGGCTCCTCTTCCATTTCCAGGGCCTCGACCCAGCCTCAGCCTCCAGCCTCGGGGAGCAGGACATCCCCCTCTTCAGGGTGAGAGAACAGAGCAGCGGCTCAACATCCGTTACATTTCTCCGTCACTGGTTAATGTCACTCTTTATTAATGTCTCTCCCACACTCAAACACTCTCCCCGCCCCTCCCACGCACACACACACTCTCTCACAATCTCACTCTTGCTCTCTCAGACTCTTTCTCTCTCGCCCTCACACGCTTTCCAAACCAGCCTTTATTACATGTGTGTGTGTGTATATATTATACATACACGCACACATGCAATAATAATCCTTGCATTTGATTTATACATATACTCTTCTTCCCAGAGCCTTGCCCTGATTGTGGTTGGGATCGGCACTTTATTTTCCATAATATTCCACGTGGGGACGCGTGAGCCGGAGCGTGTGGGGCAGAGGCTGGAGGCCGGGAACGAGGACCAGGAACCACTGGTGGAGCGAGTTGGGGGCCCAGAGCAGCGACTGGATTGGAAACACTGGCTGCAGGAACTGTCCTTCTACCATGTGAGTAGGACTGGGGTTGTGGGGGTTTGGTGGGGTGGTGGGGGAGGTTTATGGTGTGAAAGGATTCGATGAGATGGCCCCAAATCCAGCCTCACACTGAGCCTCGCTCAGCTCCAGGAACCACACATAGGACAGGGGTACCCGGAGGAAGGTGAAGGATGTGCTGCGGGTTAAGAACACCAGGCTGCTCTCAGATGGTTCCCCAGCGGTTAATCAGAGTCGATAAGATGGATGTTCATGGTTTGTTATTGTGAGACGCTCAGTCACAGGACCTGGTGAGAAATGAGGAGGAACTGGTTCACACAGAGCACGGTGAGGATGGAATTCACTGCTGGAGGCTGTGGTAAGAGCAAAAAAAAAACTGCAATTTCATAAGAGGAAACAGTGCAGGTGTAGGGGGGAGGAGAGGTGAAGGAGAGAGAAGTGGGTAGGGCAGAGGGAGGAGAGAGGATGCAGTGGGATGGAGGCTCGTGTGGAGTATAAACACCGACACAGACTTGTTTCCGCGCTGTAACGTTCTTTGACTGTTTAAGAGCTCAGCGGCTTCTCGGGTTGCTTACCGACATGTTGAGGAGAGGTGAAGCTGGTTTGGGTTAGTGGGTGTGGAGGAAATACCCATTTTATATATAAATGTTGGTTAATGCCCTCAGGGTTTTTGCTGGATCTGAAGTCTGACCATTCTCAGTTTTCCCCATGCTCTGACCAGACACTTGCACTCTGCCCACAGGTTGCCTGTTTGTACATGTGCACCAGACTGATCGTCAACCTCTCTCAGACCTACATCGTCATGTATATCACCTACACCCTGAACCTGCCCAAGGTAAGGCCCGGGCACTAAACACACACATATATAATATATATATACACACACATGCAACAATGATCCTTGCATTTGATTTAGCGCCTTATCGTGTCTTCGAGACGTCTCAAAGTACTTCGCAGAATATACTATAAAGTGGAGTGACTGGATTTTATGGACGAAACTTGGGAGCCAATTGCACACAGCAGTGTCCCACAAACAATCATGGATTGAGCGACTACATTTTTAAAATATATTTTACATATATATATATATGCTATATATTAGCTTCCATCGCTCTTCTATAAACCCGGTGTGGGAGTAATGGAATCACTGCGATTGGCCACATATCAACAACGGCCCCACAATTAGTGTTTCTGCTGATTTTATTGTTAATGGGAATCGTATCTTACATAAGGCGGAGGAGGGAGCCGTTCACAAGTGTCGCCCCTAGTGGTCACCCATGTGCAGAGCCTGCATCGCTTTGCTGGGATAAAGTTCGCAGCGTTTCCTAACGTCGTGTTAAGTAACACGCAGCACGTGTTGTGAAACGCCTCATACTTAACCCCGTGGAGTGATGCAGCAGAGAATCAGCTGATAATTGTTATTAGAAGATGTGCTCCCAGTCTCTCGCTCGCTCACGCTTCCCAAGCCATTAGTATTCCGAGGCCGTTACAGCGCGGAGGGAGTGCGTTACAAGGCAAAGGTTGGCCAACTGTGATCAAAGAGCAGATTGTGGTCATTCATTCCTCGTAAGAGCTTTTTGTGGAACTGAGGACAAGAAAGGAATTGAGAGACAAACCTAATTAGTGGAAAAGAGGAAAATGGTTTAATTGAGATCTATTTTATAATGAAAAACGTTAGGATATTTACTGACTTCCCGCCAGGGCCTCCGTGCGGGTATTGAACTACAGTTTTGTTCTTTGTTTAGACCGTTTAAAGATGATACCAACACATTCCATTACCCCCCACCCCACGCCCCGCGCCCCCGGCTCCCAGACAGCTGTGGGAAACGCTTGTTGATGTTCCTCCTGACATGGAATTCGCTGGGCGAACGTCAACAACAACAAAATTACATTCATAGAGCGGGAGGTTGTCCCAGACTGCCGAGTCAGCGGGAAAGTAAACCAGTCAGGGTGCGCGGACAGGGCTTAGATGGGCCGAATGGCCTCCGTCTGCGCTGTAAAATTCTATGAGTTGATTTCTCGAACTGTTTTGATACTTGTTTCTCTCTCTCTCTCTCTCTCTCTAGAACTACGTAGCCATTGTGCCCCTGGTGATGTACGTCAGTGGTTTTCTCTCCTCGTTCTGTATGAAGCCGGTGAACCAATGGGTCGGCAGGAACGTGAGTGTGTTGCGGGCGGGCGGGCGGGCGGGCGGGCTGGGCTGCCGAGCGGCGCAGGTGGTTCCTTATCCTTTTAACAGATGTTGTCATCCAATCTGCGGCGTTCCTACAACCTGACGCAGAAAATGTGGGGGTCGGTTGGTCAATGTGGGGTTAATCCATGTCGCTCTCGCGTGCACCCGTTGTGGCCACTGGGGGCAGCCGAGTGCATTAGTTACTGGCTCTGTGCCCACACTGCCTCCTGGTGGCTGTCAGTAGCCACAGCATTAAAGAATCTGATGTGATAGTAACTGTGAGGTTTGATGTGGGAGTCGTGTCTGAGTGTGAAGCGCTACTGGCACCAAAAATCAGGACAGGCAAAGCCAGCACCAGTTCACAAGAACATAAGAATTTGCTCGACGATGAAGACCCAGGTCCATCCAGATCGCCTTCCACCATCCTTGGCAGTCGCTTGACATGTCGTGTCCCAAACGGGTTGGGTTGGTTCAGCTCCGAGGCGGATTGGTTCATTCCTGAGCCTGTGTAATTGTGGCCAGGTCAGTGGTGTGAGCTGCTGAAGGGGTTCGCTCTCACTGAACCTCCTGGTTTCTTTCCGCAGATGACCTACTTCCTGGGGCTGGTGCTGATCCTGGCATTTGCCTATTGGGTTTGTTTTTTCCGGATCGAGAAGGACATATTCGGAGCTGCGGTGCTGCTGGGCTCCGGCTCGGCCACCATCCTGGTCACCTCCCTCTCCATGACCGCTGACCTGATAGGCGACAACACGGTAAGAAGCTCCAGCGGTGAACAGCTCAGCGACAGGAAACGAGGAGGTTACTGCAGCAGAGTGATTGCAGTGTGTGCAGGGAGCTGGGCAGGAGGCCTCACAGCGCACAGCACCACAGTGTGTGAGGAAATGTTGGGATTGGGGTGGGAGTGTCTGGGACCCAACTTGTGAGCAGTGTGATCTCGCTGGGAGGGGTTGGGGTGTTGGGGCCGGGCTGGGCAGGACAGATGGGGTTAATCAGCTTGTCGGGGATTCTCGTTCCAGCAAAGTGCCGCCTTCGTCTATGGGGCCATGAGCTTCACCGATAAATTGGCGAATGGGCTGGGAGTGATCACCATCCAGAACCTTCACCCCTGCAGGTAACCTTGGCCCCACCCCTGGCATTGGCGTTGCTCAAGTGTGTGTGTTGGGGTGGGTGAGGGTGGGTGGGGTGGGTGGGGTATGGGAGGGAATGGAACGTGTTTGGGTGATGTCTTGTCTCAAGTTGCTGTGGAGCCCGGTGTTGAGCTGCCATCGGTGTTTTCCGTTTTCTCTCCCGTCTAACCCCCCCTTCTCCCCTCTCCCCCCCCCACCTCCCCCCAGGAGCCAGATATGCTGCCCGCAATGTGGCCCATTTTACCATGTTGCTATGGTAACGGTGACGGGGGGTGTGGCCATAGTGGCCCTCGTGGCATTGGGAGCCACTCTCATTTGGCCAATCAAGATCCGTAGAGGTAAGTAATCCCCCTCTGCCCCTCCGCTCCCCCCACTCCCCCTCTGCCCTCCTCCCCTCCTGCCACCCCCTCCTCCCCTCTGCATGCCTTGTTCCGCTCTGATACGGGGGGGGAGTGGGGGAGAAGCGGGGATTATGAAGCCATCGGTAACGCTCCCACTCCTGTGCAGGTCGGAATTTATCGGAAGTGAGTGACGCTGACTGTCCGACCGGATCCGGTAGCTACAATGTCATCAACTGAGTGGAGCGTGGGGAGAGAGCAGGGGGTGGAGGGGCCTCGCTCAGCGACACCGGCCTCAGGCCTGTGATTAACTCAACAACAACAACAACAACAACAACTTGCTCTTATATGTAGCGCCGTCACATAGTGCCCAGAGTCTCAGTGCCTGAAGGCTCCTCACGACTGATGTCAGTCACTAACCCAATCCTGCACTTACCATCACTGGCCGCGCTCTCACCCAGGCTCGGGTCGATGGCTCAGCACCAGGTGGGGGGGGGTCTCCACTGGGTGATTGGGAAATGAATTAGAAAGGGTAATGTACAAAAGGGAATGAAATGTGTTGCTGGCCTCTCACAGAGGCCTCACCTCTCGCTGTCGTCACTTACTGTGCCCACTTCCCACAGAAGCCGCTAATTGTTTTCGGCCATTGTTGGTCGCGTATTAACTCCCAGGGGCGAGCGTGGGTAAGGGGGCGGTTCTCACCGTGTCCTGATTTGCTCTCCGCGGTGGGGAGAAGTTGGGTCGCTCACGCTGATATTACTGTGATTATAAAAACACACAAAAATAACGCCACATGACAGTACTGATGACACTTTATAAAATGTATATACCAGAAAAATACTAATTATAGATTTAATAAAGCCTTTAACGTTGCACTTTTTTCCTAGTGAGGTTGGGTTTGGAGGATGATTGAGCTGATCATTGCTCCCACTTCGTGTGAGATTATGAATATATTTGTATCGAGGGAGAGAGAAAATGTTCTGTTTTCTGAATAAAATATGGGGTTACAGTAAAGCACTCATACAGGGGACCATACATTTAAATATGATTTATGCAAAGTATGAGCTATGTCAAATTGGTGTAGAATATAAACTTTTGAACGTACAACTTGAGTGACTGCACAATTTATTTGCATTTATTTCAAACATTTGCACTGTAAACGATTGTAAACTATCAGCTGAGTTAGTGTTGAGGCTGAGGGCTGTGGTTGGCTGCAGTGACCTTGGAAATGGCAGAGGTGTGCAGTAGCGAGGACGTATTCTCCTTTCGGTCACGTTAAACACAGACCCACGTGCACTCGGCTGCTTTTCGTGGGTTGGAATTTGTGTGGCTGACATTTCTAGCTGAGGACACAGCTCTCTTTTTCTCTCTCTTCATTCACCTGCAAAATACATAAGTCACTACACGATGTATCTTGTGAAGCGCTTTTGAGATGTCTACCTGGCGTGAAAGGCGCCGTATTGAATCTGAGGCTTGTTATTATTTTTTCCTTTACATTTGTCAGACGTATAAATCCTCGCTGCTCTTAACAACTTCATACTACGGAACGTGCTACGAAACATGTTAGAAACAGCCTGGTTCAGTGAAACCTTTAGCCGAGGAGAGAAGGATGGAGCGCATTGTTCCCGAGCTCCACTACACACTGCTCTGTGCCCTGAACGGCGGTGATCTATTAAGTAATTGATCGGTAATCAACGATTGGCAATTGTGTAACTGTTGAGCGGTGAGGTTATATAGAGAGAGAGAGAAGGTGACGTGTGATGCCAATGGCTTCACGTTGCTGTAGCAAATGGTCTTGTGATTCTGAGATGGATTGTTTATCTACGCTTTGGCAGCACAATTCTCCCCTGAAAGCAAAGCTTGTGATCACAACTCCACAATCTAAACAAACCCGTGAGTTCGAGCGCTTTGTTGTCGCTCTGACGCCAGCTGCATTGAGTAATTCTGAATTAATCTCCCCGTGTCACATTCCACACAGCGAGGGCGGAGAGGGAGAGGCACTGGGTGTGGTGACCAATTGATCAATCGATCGATTGTCCCGTCCGCTTGTCGTTTACGATCAACGTGAAACCGAGAGAGATGGGATCCGTGGGCTAGGAATTGTTTTTGTCGGTGGGGGGGAGGGGGTGGTTGGCGGAGAGGGGGAGATGTGTTGGAGAGAGAATAAGAGGGTGAGTAGCTGTGTGAGGAGATTTGATCGCAATTATAATATGGTGTCCTTACCATAACGGAAACGCCTCTCATGCTTTAATAAAATAACATTAATAAGAAATAATATAAACATAATGGAGGGAAATGTGATAGCCTGTGTGCATTTACTCCAACCCCCAAACACAATCAGATGGGACATCAGGTGGTTTCTGGGAATTTTATCTCAAATACTGGCATTTGGGGGATGGGGAGAGAAGGTGGTGTTGGATGGCGTTCTTGTCTGTCTACTAAATTAGTGTAAGGCCATTAATTCCCACAGTGCACAGGCCCGGCTTGTCGGTGGGGAGATGTGGTGTGACGCTCCACCACACAGGAATGTCTCCTCTTTATTTCCTCACAGATGACGAGAACCATCGGAAACAACTGATGGAGGACTTCAGGCTGTGCCAAGAAGGTGACAAGCCCCTACCTACCATTCCCAGTGGGAAGCACAGAGATGTTAGAATGGATACGAAGCTCAGAGCAGGTCATAGAGTAACCAACATTACAGCCCTGGGCTGGAATATAAACAGAAGTCGCTTCAGGTCATCGATGGAGAGAGGAAAGTGGGTTAAGGTTTCAGGTCGACCTTTCATCCACTGACACCTGTGAGTAACATGGGGGTTTTGAGTGTATGGGGTAAGAGTGGGGGGAGTGGGGTTAGTTGGCAGCTGTTTCAAAGAACTGGCACAGGCAGAACGGGCCGAATGGCCAACATCTTGGTGTAAGATTCTACAAATCCAGATTTACAACGATAGCTTACGTCGAGTTTGCGCCTTCACGTGGGAACGTCTCGGAACGATTATCAAGAATAAATCCACATTCACTCTTGTTGATCTAACACCTCCTCAGGGGCGTTCAGAATTTGACAGATTCTTAAATCGCCACATTAATAATAATAATCCTTGCATTTAGTACATAGAGCGCCTTATCATGTCGTCGAGACGTCTCAAAGCGCTCATAGGATGTACTGTGAAGCGGAGTGTGACTGCGTATTTTGTGGGCGAAAGCGGAAGCCAACATTTTTTTTTCGTAAGAGTTTCTCCTCTTTACAATTCTTTTAAGATGGTGGGGGAAGAAAGTGGGAGAGCAGGTCAGCGGGTGAGGCGGGGAGAATTTGCGTAACTTTTTTAAAAAAAATCTCTGCCCCCCCCCCAAAAAAAAACGCAGCATAAACTGGAGGTCAGAACCTGAGCACAAGCTGGGGGTGGGGGTGATTTCCCCTCGTGCTGGGGTGGTGGGGGGGGGGGTGGGGGTGTTAGTGGGGGCTATGACTGTCTCTGTGGGAACAGGGAAGGAAAGGAAACTTTATATAGAAACTTAGAAACTTCAGCCCAACTTCCCCCACATTCACTCTCACATCCACTTACACACCTTGCTGACAGGTGTGTGTGTGTGTGCGGGGGTGGGGGGAGAGGGCAGTGGCCGCTTGACACCAATCAGCACCGAGCCTCCCCCTCCCAAGGTGATAAAAGAGATGAGAGACGAGGAAATGTGGTAAACACTGAGCTCAGAGATGCTGAGACGAACGAGTGGCATCAGCCGCAGGCTTACCCTGCAAACTAAAGCACACAGGTATGTGGGGAGGGGGAGAGAGGGGGTGTGTGTGTGTGTGGGGGTGGGGGAAGTCTCCAGAAATATATAACGTTAAAAGTGGAACTGTATACAGTACATCCTTGTCTCTGTGTGACTGAGGAACCACAGGCTGAGCAGTCCCTCAGGGCTGTACAGTTTTGTTGGGTTCACAGTCAATGGGGGGAATTGTTTCTCCTGGTCAGTGAGTCAGTGACGGAGGGGGTCAGTGATAATTATCAACGGTGAGAGATGAAGAGGATGTTTTTGTAGTACTCAGAGAGCTGTTAGCCTGTGGGAAACCTTCTGGAGGAGGTGGTCGCCTCAGGATGATATCGAGAGAGGAGTGATTTGGGGGGGAAATGGCAGGTCATTGGGACGGAACGTTTTGCTCTGTCAGAGACCGAGTAGCAGAGCGTGAGGGTCGGTTACTGTGTGGACGGGGCTCCCTGGTGGAAGCTTGCCTGGTAAGCGGGGGTGTGGGTGGTGGAGGGGAGTTAGCATTGAGCTCTGCTGCCCATTACTGACCACTGTCTGGGGTTTGATAACTAAACCAGCTCAGATATTTCTGTGTGTTTCCCTTCCCCCCCCCCCCCCCGCCTGTTGGCATGTGTTAAACACTGTAAATGACATCACTCAGTCTCGAGGGTTTATTTCTCTCTGTTTAATGCTTTCCTAGTGACCTTGTACCTACAGGCGTCAAGGATGCAATTCAATGTGCAATAAAACCTTTGACCCACTTCCCCACACATACACATGGGCGCACGCACACACACACAACAGGAACAACCTGCACGTATACAGCGCCCTTCAAGCTGAAACTCCAACTCAGTGGTACCCAACCTGTGGCCCGCAGGCCATCAAGCAGTACCTCCTCACCCTCTCTCTCCCCTCCCCGCACCCCCCCCCCCCCCACCCCCCACCCACCCCGAACATTCACACAACTCTAGATAAGTTGGGTTCAATTGTTCGTGTGTCTTCCGTTCTTTTCTTGATTAAATATTTCTGGATTTATGACGGAAAGCAAGTCATATCCAATGAATAACATTTTATTGGCCCCCACCAACGCACTGGAGATTTCCACTGAGGCTCAATTCTGAGAACCTACTGGTTAAAGCGAGGTTGGTCACTGTGGCTGAAACTAATCGACAATTTAGCTGTGAGACAGAGAGAGAAAAAAATCCCCCCCCCCCGCCAACTGAAGTAAACCATCCAGCATTTCTTACCAATTTCCCCTCAGTGTAACCACATTACTGGGAAACCACACTTGTAGATTTGTAAATGTTTGCAGAAAACAATCTCATTGGGATTCCCAGCCAGCGTGTGGTTAGGCAGAGTGAAGTCTCTCTGTACTCTCGCTCACTTTGTTTGGTTATTCTGGTAAAGTTTGCCCGCGGGTGAAATGTAAAATTCCGTAAATCTTGGGCTTTCTCATTCCAAGTAATTACTAGTAATAATAATTCTGATAGAGCTCCTTATCACATCTTCGAGACGTCTCAAAGTGTTTTACAGAATATGCTGTAAAGTGTGGTGACTGTATATTTTGTGGGCGAAACGCGGCAGTCAATTGCTCACAGCAGTGTCCCCACAAACGGTCGTGGATTGTGTGATGACATTTTTAAAATTTTATTTATTTTGAAGGGATTACCCCAGAAAGCGATCTGTCAATCGACTAACAACCGAGTCCCATTTACTGCTGGTAAACAGAGGTGTGTGTGTGTGGAGTAAGGAAACTTGCCTTAGGTTTCCCTCTGCCAGGTCCTCTTGCTTTAACCACGACTTTACAGGACTCTACAATTTAAAAAAAAACATAGAATCTATAATAATAAATATAAATGATAGAAACGATAGGCTGCCTGCCTGATGGCCACTGACGAGAGATTTGAGAAGGAGTTTACACAGGAGGCTGTTCAGCTGGTGTCTGTGCTGCTGTGTTAAGGAGCCATCCTCAGTCCTGTTTCCCTCTCCTTATCCCCATCACCCGGCAGTTTAAACACTCCAGGACGCTGCCCCAGTTGTGAAGGACGTGATGTGAATGCAAGTTATTGTTGTTGTAATTCACTCCCTTTTGTTTGTGTTTCGGGAGCTGTGTTGAGAGAGAATGGGTGATCTTTCTACAATAGCTTCCCTTTAGCCTCTCAAATATCTGTGCGATTGAGGCTTACAAGACCATCATCGGCAGTCTGTCTGTGGCACCTTTCTTGCCCACGTTGTGGTTGCATCTGAAACCTTCCTCTTCAACTCCGCCTATGGTGGGGTCACCTCCCCCCCCCCGGCTCGGGCTCGTGCTCCGCTACTGTCAAGCGCTCTGGGACGCTGCGCTGTGTGAGGGCCTGAAGGGC